TCCCAAGCCGTCGATTTCATTCTTGCGACCGCTGCACTCTTCAACGCCACGGATGAGAAGGTGGTATTCTTTGCCTATGAATTGCTAGGTTCCGACTTTGTCGCGCTGGAACTCCAGCATCAGACATCAGCCCATGGTTGGCGGCGACTGTTTCTGGAGTCTGGCCCAAGCGGCACTGTTCGTCGTCATGGTGCATCAGTCACTGTTCCTACCGCTGCCATAGGCCTTCGCTTCATAGCCAACATATCCAACGAGTTGGACAAGGTCAGAATCCACTTGCTCGTCGCAGCCGAGGTCGTCTCAGCCCTGGAGGACATAAGCTGCAACTTCGAGTACGCATCATGCTTATGGACAGGCAGCTGGCAGCGGCGCAGTGGCCCCACGCCAACACCAGGAATCGGGCCTGAAGCAGCATTCCAGGGCGACATCTACGCCTACGTCGAAGGGGACAGCCATATCGGCCAGGCAAGGGGTTTCTTGGGTGAAGCCAGCCGTTGCTGCAACCTGTTTGTCTCCTCCCCTAACCTTGCGGCCTCGCAGGACGCCACCTTCATGAGCCCGGGCTTCCCCAAGACCGTCAACACCTCCCACTTGGAGTTTGCCTACCACATGCGAGGGGTGGCATCGGCCGCTTGGAGCTTCAGTACCGGCGCGAAGGTTGGTGGACCACACGCTGGTCGCGGCAAGGCTCCCAAGGCAGCAAGTGGCTCCAGGCCAAGGTGACGCTGCCCAGCGGCGTGGAGATGCTGCGCTTCGTGAGCTCCGGCTCGAGCACTGAAGACGCCGATGTGGCCCTGGACTCCGTGGTCGCTTGGCAGCTCCCAGGCCCGGCGTCCGAGGAGGTCCTGAGCCTCTGCTCCGGCGGCTATCACAACTGCGCACTCCTCAGAGGCACCGGCCAGCTGAAATGCTGGGGCTTGGGCAGCTCTGGACGCCTGGGCTCCGGCAGCGAGGAAGACGTGGGCGACGCCCCGAATGAGATGGGTACCGCACTGCCGGCCGTGGAGCTCCCAGAGCCGGCGCGGGTTGTGCAGGTGGCCTGCGGTTGCTGAGTCAAACTTAACAAAAGTTACCCTTCCTTCCCATACTCCCAAGACTGGCTTTAAAAGAGGCAATGCTTAAACACATCATTTTCAAAAACTCAACAAGAAAAACGTGTTCTTAGAGGGCAAAAAGACAACCAGTCTTGCAGGATGGTTTGTGCAGGTTTCATACGAATGTCTAAGGGTTATGCCCAGATTCATAATGTAACGGGTTTCGGATGCGCTGCAAATTTGAAACCTGGCTTTGAAGGTTTTTTGCAAGATATGCTTACAGATCCGGGTATTGTGGAACTCTTTGATGCAGGTTCTGGAAGCCCTCAGTATGGTTATAATGGTAAATAGTCGGGCTTCCTCATTACAGTAGCATACTGCAAGTTCCTCAGCAGCAACCCAGGTTTTCGGCATTCTTGCGCACTGCTCCAGACAGGTGCGCTTCATTGCTTCGGGCAGAACGATTACGGCCAACTCGGCTTGGGGCACAGTGGCAATGTGGGAGACGAGCAAAGTGAGATGGGCACCGAGCTGCCACCTGTGGACCTGGGCAGTGGCGTGGTTGTGCTTCAGGTATCCGCTGGTTCTTTACATACCTGTGCACTGCTGAAGGGCGGTGCCATCAAATGCTTCGGAATAGGATCGCGGTTGGGCTTGGGAGACGCGTGCGGGCCTCAGAGCAGTGGCTTCCTCCGCCTTCGAGGAGATGCTTAGAGCAGGTGAAGAGCTGTTGCTGCAGGGGTTGTAAAGTGCTGACACTACCCATTTGAGCTTCCCAAACTTGCCCAAATTTTGCAGAGCCCAGTACTACTCGTGGCGACGACCCAAACGAGATGGGCGCGGCACTCCCGACCGTCGACCTGGGCACTGACTTTGAAGCCTTGCAAGTAGTTGTCGGAGCTCATCACGCGTGTGCCCTATCGAGCCAAGGCCGAATCAAATGCTGGGGCCTGTCTTGGTACCTAGGACTCGGCCTCCCAGGTTCAAACTATGTCGGCTCGGAGGCCCAACAGATGGGCGAGCATTTGCCATACGTGGACTTGGGGCCCCTTCCCGCACGGCAGATTACTGCCGGTTGGTTGCATACCTGCGCTGAGACTTGTCTGCATCTTCCGGTTTCTGCGGCCATGGTATGAGTAGGCGAGCATGCGTACACCCACATGTGGCAGGTACTGGCTGATGGTTCCACGCGCTGCTGGGGGCTGAACGACCGCGGTCAACTCGGGCACGCAAGTACAGAAGACGCGGGCGAAGCCCCAGGAGAAATGGGCGCCGCTCTGCCAGTGACCGAGCTGGGCGATGGCGTGGTGGTGCAGCAGATTGCGGCGGGCAACCATCACACATGCGCCATCCTTCAGGATGCGTCCCTGAAGTGCTGGGGCTGGGGACAGCACGGCCAGCCGGGGCCTTGGACAGCTCAGAGGGCCCTTCTTTGACCAGCTTGAGTGCTTTCAGCTCTTTTTCAGGTGCTTGTCGCAGCTTGCATAAAATTCCCAACTCGTAAATGACAGCCATGGGCAACTTGTTAAGACACACTTGCATTTGATCAGCCAACTGGAACCTCAGAAGGTGCCCTGGTTGAAGCACTGGCCTTGCCAACTTGCAGGCTCCTTTACCTGTTTGCTTGCGATGGCAAGCACGAATTCGTGTTTTTTACTCACCATGGCGGCCCAGCATGCTCCTGAAACATTCGCAGTCGTTTGACATTTTTCGGTTGAAAGCGGAGTGCACCTAGCAACATCAAATTCAATTAGGCGCTCAGCTAACGCAACAGCAGCTCAGTTGGGACTCCAAAGCAGAGCGAGATGGAGCGAGGGTGCTCGCTGGATATTACAGCCTGGAAAACAGGACCCAGTCTGCCGCAATGCATAGCCGCACCAGCCCTCTACCCAGATTTTCCCCAGACGCGAAGAAAAAGAAGTCAAGGCAGACTGCGGCTGGTGTGGAATGGTGGAATTAACTGTTTTGTACCTGTAAGCCTTGTAATACTGCTCGTCCATGCATGTATGCAGATCCTGACACGGATCTTCTCTGAGGCTGGGACAGGGCAGCTCCGACAATCTGGGCGACGAGCCCTCGGAGCTGGGCTCTAACCTGCGTGCCGTCGACTTCGACAACCACGAGGTGCGCGCTGTGAGTGCAGGCTTCGGCCACACCTGCGTCCTGCTGGACGACGACTCTACCAGGTGCCAAGGTCGCCAGAGAGCTCCAGCCTGCAACTTGTAGGTCCTAAGCCTAAGCCTAAGCATGCACCGGCGCATTCACGAGCAGGTGGACACTAAGCACAGGGGTCCCAGCTGAATCAGGTGCTTTGGGCTGGCGAGTGCAGGCCAGCTGGGCCAAGAGAACAGCCTCAGCATTGGCGCCAAGCAAGGCCAGATGGGCACGGCCTTGGCAGTCACGGAGCTCTTCGTGGTGACGCTCAGGGCAGGCTTCGAGGGCCTCAGCCTATCTGAAGACTCCCAAAGCATCCTGCAAGTGCAGCATGGGGGCCTGGTGGGCCTGATCTGCGATGATGGCTTTGACACTGCTGCGGCACAAGTGGCCTGCCGCGATCTCGGCATGGCTGGCGGCATCACCCTGTCCGTGAATGCGCACAACGGCACTATCCCAGCAGACAATGTCCGATGCACTGGTGACGAGGTGAGCCTGCGCGACTGCCGCTTCAGCGGCTGGCATTTGCACGATTGCACTCCGCAGGAAGCTGCAGGCACGGATTTCTGGGTTGGCAGTTCTTTTGTCGCCGCACTGTTCACCGCTTCTAGCTTTTTTCCTGCTTCATGTGTGATACGGGGTGACACGCAAGCAAGGCAGACGGCCGACAAGCAAGCAAGCAAGCAAGCAAGCAAGCAAGCAAGCAAGCAAGCAGGCAAGCAAGCAAGCAAGCAAGCAGGCAAGCATGCAAGAAACAAACAAGAACGTTGTCGCACTACACGGCTTTGGCCTCAGCGCGGTGTTTGCCGCCCTTATCCCTTACCATCAATCAAACCCCCGCAGCACGAACATGCCGAATACATCCTAATGCGTCGTGTACTTGTAGCATGCGACCATATTCAACATTCGGAGGGGTGAGATGTTTGAATAACACGGGGAGAGGGGATTGTTGAGGTGGAGAGTAGGAGAGACTAGCCGGGGTCGTCATTCGAGATCTGTCTGAGCATCTGAGGGATGACCAGGGGCTTCTGGCATCCCCCTGACCGCCCCACGCTCTATCTTTTAAAGCAACCCCGTTTCATGTCTAATAGTGTTGCAGTTGCTATTTTGTCAGCAATTTTAGTGGTTGTTTGTTCTATTTCTCGGTTTTGGAGAGACTTTGGCGTTACAGGGCTCTACCTGGATCATGTTCTGCTTAAGGGCCAGGATGCTCCCCAAATGATGCGCATGTCTTGCGCTATGCTTCATGGATTCAGGATGTCGGTGAACACGCCATGGAACACGATGTACAGTTGGCTTCTGAGCCACCTGAAGCAGTAAGAGTGGATCCCTGCTGATAGCCAGCCCACGGTGGCTGACATGTGGCATGTGCTACGTTACAGGTAATTGTGATCGCTGGAGGGCCGGAGAGGTTACAATTGCGGATGACTACAAAACCCCTGTGGTCCGTGAACACAGGTTCAACTGGAGTCACCCCAAACAGGCCTTCACGTTCCAAGTGCCCTGGCTACTCCTCGCCTGGGAGCCTACCTTAAACTGTGCCACATCTAAACACCAATAAAGGGGGTTATGTGAGGGATCATGTCGGGGACTACTCTGGGGGTTGTTAACGGGAATGCAGGGACTACCGAAGTTTAGACTATGGCTCAAACGCAATTTCCGAGGTGTGGGGAATCGATCACTTTGCTTCACAGGACTTTTTGTATGAGGGTTCGTCGGAATACGGGCGAAAACAAGTACTCCATTTTTCAGAAACATCTTACGTGGCATTAAAGACGATTACAGGCATAAACTTAAGCAGCGCTAAGACAACATAATTGTGCAAGTCATGTTGGCATGTCGACATCACTTTCTCTTTCACAGCGTGACCCACACTTTATCGGTTTTTGTGAAGTTCAAAAAATCGGGCCTGTATTCCGATGCGTTCCGTTTTGTATAAATACACACAAAGGTAGCTTTCAGGGATGGAAGTCTCAAATTGTCAAATGGCGGCCTGCCGCAATCTTCTGCTCAGCAGCCGGGGGCTCTCTGGCGAGCATTGTTCCTGACTTTGCAGCAAAACAGCAAGGGATTTGCGCGGAGCGCGTACAATGCGTGGCACAGCAATCTTTCCAGCTTAGTTCAAGAGAAAATCAGCTCTGTGAGGGTACTCGCCACCCCCCGCCCCTGTAACCTGGTTGGCCCGAGCGTCTTCCCACAAAGCCGTAAACTGGAAACTTGAGCCTACGGCAGCGTCATTACTGCCATGGCACTTTCAGTTTCTGTAGGCCTGTAGGCATTTGGTTTTTGCACACATATGTGAAAAACATTCCCTCCCACCTCAGTCAAGATACTTTACATGTCGTGGACGTCATCTAGATCACTATACCTGCGCATGCCTAACAGGATGAAGTCAAGAACAAGCTCCGAAGAACCCTCAGCATCACCCACAAAGAACGCCTCACCTCGTTGCCTGGCCCCAGAACCCCGACCCTGAAGCTACACTCAAATCTAGGAAGAGGTGAAGGGAAAGAAACCAGGCACTCAGGCAAAATGCCTTTGTCAGATCTTGAGCCATGCATTCGGATTTGTGCGTCTTCCTTGCGCAGGGGCCATGCTTCAACAGCACATCATAATTTGGTACACTTCTCGGATTTGTGCTGGGGTCAAACACACTCTTCCTCACGTAAGTCATTCAGAGGAAACGTGCCTGACGTCTGCACTCCAAAGCTGTACATACTCAATGCGTTCACCTAGCCAGATACCTGCTGCCACTATCAAAACAGCGTACTGGATCCACAAAGTGGACTCTTGCCCGACAGCCCCGTTGCCGGTGATCACCCTTTTCTTGTATTGAGGCTCCTCACTTTTTAGTCCCGGTGGACACGCCTACGGCAGCATTGAACGACATTGAATGTTGATTTCAAACACTGAGGTCTGCAGATTCTGCTGGACTATTCCGCGAAATCCGGTTTAAACACTACAGCACAAACTACGGTACAGGATCTTAGAACCTCATAGCCGGCTACAGAAGTGGCGTACGACGTGCAAATGTGTCGTGGTTTCCACTCAAGAAGTCAAGTTAGCCCAATCTTGATCCGAAGTTCTGCAAGATGGCCCTTCGGCAAAGACCTCGTCAACATATCTGCGATCAACTCAGGACCTGGATGGTGAGCAAGTGTGAGAGACGACTCGCGGATCTGGTCTCTCAGCCAGGCCGCCCTAAGTGCGAAAGCTCTAGTACGCCAGGATTTCGCGAAGAAGGTTTCCTGATTTGCCACTGTAGTGCTAGCTGCATTGTGTCTAAAAAGCTCCACCTGTCGTAAAACACTTCTTCCCGTCAAGCACTCCAACAATGGCAACGCCTTAGAAACTTCACTAACCGCTAAAGCCAACGCATCGGTCTCAGCTTCACATACAGACCAAGCTATCACCGTCTGTTTCGATGACCACCTGTCCAATGCGCATCCATCTAGGGTGATGACTCCAACACTCCTGGGCCTGATCCCTTCCAGGCTGGAAGCATTTGACCATACTTGAAGTGACTTGCTTTCTGTAGTCCCTTTCAAACGAAGTCCGAGATCCAAAGTTGCCCTCAAGTATCGCCAACAACCTTGTGCTACCTTCAGGACTCGTGAAGGGCATTTATGCAAGTGAGAAGCAGCGATGCTGATTGTAGCCAGAAGATCTGGACAAGTTTTGGTGCAAATTCATAGGAGGCATCCAAGTTCTGTCTGAGCTGCCTTCAAGTCAATCTTATACTGAGGATATTCGACGGGCTCCTGATCCATCATCTCAACCTGCGGCAAGCTGGGAGTACCACACAGATGAACCCAACCCCGTTTGTGAAGCCCGCGTAGAACCCACACAACCTGTCTTTGATCGTGAAACCTGATCTGCAAGCCAATGAAGGTCAATTCCTGAACACGAGACATTGTACAGTTTCCATGCGAAATGGTTTCCTCATTGCCGCCTGTGATAAATCCAGAGAACTTTGTAGTCCATGTGCTCTGAATGAACGCCATGACAACTGCAACAACAGGTGCTTCCCCTACAGTCGATCAGGATGAACAAACCCTCCTCGTCAGGTACAAGCCTAATCTCGAACTTGCCGGTGCTTGCCTCCAAAGTCTGGCCATCTAGCGTGTGGTCCCGTAACTGGCCCTATGCCTTCGGGCTTCGCCGCAAGCCGTAGATGTGCTTCCGCGCCCTCCAGATAATTCCAGTAGGAACCAATCCTAATCGTTTCAAGGCCGTGGGAGGCTCAAGGAGAACAACTTCAGATGGATTCATGTCAGAATTCAAGAAGGTAAGGGAAACGTCGCCGCTTGCAGCAACCCATGACGTGTTGGAACCCAGTTGGTTCCCCATTATCCTCAGCGCGGTAGGGCAAACGTTCTGAGTAGAAACTTCTGCCCCAGTGTGGGTTTCGAAGTTTCCGCAAGCACACAATCGTACTTTGGCACGCCATGGCTGGTCTTCCACCTCGGTGGCCTTGTGGTCAGTGAGCGAAATGCCATCCTCGGGCTTGCGGGACATGACAAGCTTCGTAGGTAAAATCCGCGGGATCGGATCTCCAGGCTCCAGCCTTCAGCCCCAACTCTCTCATCCAGCACACCCTTCTCGCGCGTGGCGTCCATTTCGTCCTTAGCCTCATTAAACCACTTCAGCCTTGCCTCCTCTGTTCCCTCAAAGAAGACTTTGCAATCCATGGTCTCAGCGGAGGCCTTGATGGAAGCCACCTCGGCCATCAGCGTGGCAGTCTCATCTGCCGTTGTCTCCGCGTCGGCCGTGTCCAACTGATAGCCTTTGGTTATCTTGATTTCCCACGGAATGGATTCCCCTTTGGCCTGATCGCATTCCTTGACGGACTTGTTGCAAACCCAACAACGCTTACCCTTTAGGATCTCAAGGTTACTGTAGTTGCCACTGCCGCCGCCCCAGGTTCCAAAGCCAAGTCAACTGAATCCACAAGAAAACCAGACCATAGTTTTGGTTGCATATGATCCTTGAAGCGAGCTCGAATTGTGCTTGATGCTGCATTCTCACTGTTCCAAGGCTGCACTTCTCCCAGTGCCTCTTCCACATTGATCATAGCTTCGGGGGGCATCTCACCGGATGTCGCCATGAGTGCTAAGCCATATATTCTGGTCCTCTGGACCTTTGTCAAGCCTCCAACAAACAACCTCTTTGTCTTTCAAGACTGGAAGCCTCGCAACTCGAACTGAAGCGTTTCCATCCCTGAGCGCCATTACGCATGCGCCACCCGGACTCCTCTCGTCGTTTGCTAAGATTCCTTCCGCAGCTCTTGGAGCCAAGAGGTGGTCTGCGGCCAAAGGCAGTTCTCGGATCAAAACTGTATGGCCCATCCGCAGACGATCCTTCGGCATCAACAACTTCAGTGACCTACATCTTCTCAAAAACGTGGCCGCAAGAATTGCTCCGCTCCAAAGTTGAAAAGGTAGCTGAGCATGAAGTAACAACGAACAAGTTGCTGCTTTGATCAATCCAACCAACCTTTCAGTCTTTCCGTTCTGTTGGGGAGTATAGGGGCAACTCATAGTAGGCCACACACAGCAGGACTCAACTTCCCGCTGAAATGCACCTCCAACAAACTCCTTGCCTGCATCAGAGTGTGTGCGAAAGACGGGTGGTGCACCTTGAGCACGTGACACAATCTGACACATGACTGACGTCAAAGCCCTGGCTACCTCCTCGCTAGTCTTGGTTTTCAACAGTCTGGAAAACGGAATGTCATCTCCTTCGGGCATACTTTATTTGGCTAGAAATCAGCAATGTCTCCTGATCCCAACATACAATCAAGTGGGAGCTCAAGCGACTTGAGTCTGGCAACCAAATTTGCTGAGTTCTTGATGACATGCGTGAGTTTGGAAACCACTTCACTCAATCGAATGATCACATACTGCGCCATGGGTGTGAGAATGCTGGAAGTGGTCGGAGTAATCGACCTGGGCACCTGAGCCGATTTGTGGCTTCTCCATGTCAATGTGAGTTCCATTAGTCGCCACCTCACCACACATTGAAGAATCATTGCGTCACGAGCACCCTTTGGTGTATGACGGCAGCTCAGCCTCATAGTTATTGTATGCAGTTGTTCCGAAAGTCAGTTCTTGTCGCAAGCGGCAGGTTCAAACTTTGACTTGCCCTCACAGATCTGGTGCTTCAAATCTGCCAGCAACGAATTCTTAATCGGAATAAGTGCGGTGCTTTTGTCATCCTTGATGACCGTGAAACCATTCTGTTTAAGCCAGTCCAACACAATCTTGTCAAGGCAGCTCAAGTTGGAGTCAGTTGGAGGATGGTATATGGCGACTTCAATTTTTGCGGAACCGATTCCAAACATCTTCCTCAAATGTGCTAAATAACTCGGGTGCAGTGGCCACATTCTGTTCGGCAGGTGGCCACCATTGTGAAGGGCATCGAAATCGGTTTGACAAAGGTGTTTCTGCTTCAGTTTTGTAGCTGGCGCTGGCAAAGCATGCAGCACAAAAACATTTCCGCTTGAGATTCATTCAAGCAATTGGCAAATGCAGTGGCACCAGGCCAGCGGGGAAATCGAGGTATGAGTCTCGGGCCTTTCCCCAGGAAAAAATTAACCACATCGGGCAGTGCGTCAGGTTTCTTGGCTGTGCGGCTGATATGGTCAAGCTCCATCCATAGTGCCTGATGAATGGTCTGTGGTGAAATACGCAAGGGTGGAACTCAAAGGTTCATGTTGTAACTTCCTCAAAACAAGCCGTGGAACATGTAGGAGGTTGGAATACTTACAGCCATCTGTACATCCGGATTGCCGCGAGTGTTTGCGATTACGCTGATAGCGCCTTAATGCCAACCTCTCCATCTTGCGGGCCTGTCTCCCCATCTTTGCGTCGATGGGGCACGTGTAGGTTGGTGCCTCACCCACTGATGCTGCTGGGAGTTCGGAGTCATACTCCTTGATCTCGGCCTGCGCATAGAACCGGAATTTCCGGATCTTTCTTTGTTTGACTTGCCTTTGCCTCTCCTTTTCTGTGTCAAGTTGTACGGGGACACCACGTCTCTTGGGAGAGGCATTGCGTATAAAACCCTTCTTACCTTTGCTCTCGCCTTTGCCTTTCCCCTTGGAAGGTCCGTGTGATTGGGCTCGTGAACTCTGAGATCTCACCGATGGATTGGATGGATGTCTCGGATTGTTGCCATTTCCTCTGCCCTTGCTCTTGCCGCCTTTCATGCTCAGGCCTGGCGGTGGTCTGAAGGCTTGAAGACCAAAAGGACATCCATGTTCACGTTCAAAATTGCGCCTATGTTCACATAGCTAGGCAAAAGAAGGCTCAGACATAGCGTGTCTCATGATTGCATTACCTTTACCGCGGCCTTCACCATGTTCGCAACCTTCGACTCAATCATCAAATCAAGTTGCACTTCCTTCAGGAGCTGGGCAAAGTCAACTTTAGCTTTAGCCAGGGCTTCCTCACGCTTTCTTGCCGCTTCCTGTTGCTTCGTTTTGGCCAAAGCTTTGCCGAATAGCAAATGTTCATGGCTTGCATCAACGAATTTCGTTGCTTCGGCAGCCCAGGTTTCGTGCCTGAACTCATGTTGCATGTCCATGTCAACAAGGGCAGCGAAGGTACCGTCAATGCAGTCATCAACCGACTTCTGATATGCAAGCAAGGATGACTCAGTCCTTAACGCTTCAAGTTCTGCAGCTTTGGCCCTCATGAGGATTTCAATTCTGCGTTCAACATCATGGTCGGTAAGTTCGGAAATCAACTCAGCAAAAGTTCTGCCACAAGAGTCAAGCTCATTTGGGCATCTATGTCCAGCAATCTTATCAGGCAGATTTACCTTCGCAAGGAACCGTGGCAGTTTCCTCGGGTTTTTCCATGCCCCGTATTGCTTACTCATGGCTTCACGTTGTTCCCGTGCAGACCAGAAAGCATTCAAACATCGTCGTTGCTTGTCATGGTACTCAAACAGCGTCCTCTGAAACAACCGATATGAAAGCTGAGCATGTGTCGTCATTGTCGTAGTTGGCTGGTGGCAACTCTTCATCAATCTCAGCTTCATGCCTGCCTCCACATTGTGATAGCTCTCGTGTCTTATGGCAAAGCCACGGCAAAACTGCAAGGCATTTGCACGGAGCGCGCATAATGTGGCACAGCAATCTTTCCAGCTTAACTCAAGAGAGAAAATCAGCTCTGTGGTGAGGGTACTCGCCACACCCCCGTGTAACCTCGTTGGCTACTGTAAGCGTCTTCCCACAAAGCCGCAAACTGGAAACTTGAGCCTGCGGCAGCGTCATTATTGCCATGGCAGTTTCAGTTTCTGTTTTGCGCATATGCGTCAAAAATCAAATGCCTATTTTTCACATATGCGGGCCACGGATGATGTGGTGTTGTGTGAGCCGGTGTCCCAGCAATTTGCAGCGCAGCCTGGCTTCCAAGTGTCTGATGTGTGTGTTCATCAACAACTAGCACATTCTTTTATGGGTTGCAAAGCTGCGTGCGATGCACGCGCCTAATGGTTTGCGAGTGGGTGGAGCTGCCCCCTTCCCCGTGCCCTCTAAAACACGAACCTGTAGCATGTCTAGAGCGAGCCCTCATTAACAACTGCCCATAAAGCATCCGCGCATTTCGGGTTAACAAACGAGCTCTCGCGTACAGCGTTCTCGCTCTCTGGAACCACTTTCCCCAGTGGCGACTCGTACATGCTGGGAGAATCGCGTAGAGCATTCCACGTCCCCTTGTTTTGTTTTTCGGTCATCTCCGTGAAGAAATCGTACAAGACACTGAGAATAACACCAGTAGCAACGGCAGCGAACACAACATCAGCGACCCCAGGAACCACAGCAACACATGTAGTATCTGCAAACAACTAGCGGAATCAACTTCAGGCGAGGCGCTAGCTATCCAAACTTACTGCATATTGCGCACGCGAACTGGCATCAAGCCCACCAGGACCAGGAAATTGCGCAGTCAGTAGTCAGAAAGAATCCTCATCATGCACGGCGCCTGGACATACATGACCTATAATCTAAACTCCTTAAAGGGGGTTGCATAGGGGATTATATAGGGGAGTATGATAGGGGTTATTAACGGGGATACTGGGAGTTTAGAGTTTAGACTATAGCTCACAGTGCGTCGTTTCACAAGTATTTCAATCCGTCGGAGGGAGCTGTCACGCATTCCTTCCAGCCCTACCGCAAAGAAAACACAACACAATTGCCCCGAAGAATTCCGGACCCCCTCTGAAAATGGCAGCTTTACTGTAATTAGGGCGTCCGCATGCCTACCCTCCAGGGACTCCAGAAGATTCTCGTTCTGTAATTTACAGTAGTCGGAGACCAAGACCGCAAAACAAATACCGCAGAAAACGGAAAAACGCTACTTCTCAACTCCCTCGTCAGGTTTCTGGGAATGGAAGGTGTGGGACCGCCTGATCCTTGTCCGAACCTGACAGGCTTGCCATCATTAGAGTTTCAAAACCAGCACACACCACACAGAACAGGTGAATGTTGCACATGTTTTAAGACACGCTTTGTGCTGGTGCGGCTGTTGTGTGGAGGCGTCCGGTGTGAGCTTGATGCCTGGAGCGAGTATACAGCTCCCGGAAGTCCAGCCGGACGCCAAGATGCAAGCATGGTATGGATCGATGAGGCCCAAGCGGCACTGATGTTTGCCGGCCATGCCAGCGCCACCTTCAATACTTCGCAGATGTTTGGCTCTACAACTGGCCACAGAGGCGTTGGACAGAGATCATCCTTCCGAGCATGGACCCCAAGCCCAACAGCCGGTACGGGCATACAGCTGCTTGGGACGGCGAGTCCAAGTCCATGTACATTCTTGCTGGCAGATTCCTTTCTATGTTTTACAGCGACCTGTGGGCTTTCAGCATACTGGACAGCAAGTGGAAGCAACTTACCGCTCTAGTGTCGCCCGCACGTGCGCACCATACAACCATATTAGACACAGCGCAGCGCAACTTACTTGTCTTTGGCGGCGAACTGAACAGCCAAGTTCATGGCGACCTCCTCCGCTTCAGTCTTGCTGATGCGGAGGCTCAGTGGATCAAATCGTCTGCTCCGGGGCCGGCGCCCCGGAGCCAGCACACAGCGGTTTGGGCAGCCGACACCCAAGTCATGCTGGTGTTTGCAGGCTGGAACGGGCAGCAGTACATTGATGATTTGCACCGTTATGATTCGTGGGCTGATCGATGGACAGAGCTCCCAATGTCTGGAGGATGGCCTGCTGCCCGTGGTGGGCACGCAGCCTCCTGGGACCCGACCTCACAGCGCATGATGATTGTGGGAGGCACCCAGAATATGAGCAACTCTCTAAGTTACAGTTCTGCACTATTGACCTACAGCCTTCTCACAGGAGCCTGGAAGGAAGAAGGCCTGCAGGCCACAATTGAAGGCCCAACAGGCCGCACGGGTCATGCCATCATTTGGGACAGCGACCAGCGAGGACTCCTTTTGTTCGGTGGATACAATGCTTCGTACCTGCAACAGACCTGGCGATACGCTATGAGCCACAGCACCTCGGCCAGAACCATCAGTTGCCAACTTGGACGTGCATGCCATCTCAACTTTACAGACGTGTCTGGGGTTCTCATGGCAAAACGATTCTGCACAGATACTGACATGTTGGGCACAGAGCCCGTTCAGACATTTGAGGGTGTAGCGACGCTGCTGTTTCTGGAGCCGGGGCACCACCGCCTCTGCTGGTGCGATACCAATTGCAGCCAACCTGGCGACTTTCAGGTGGCTTTGAGCTTCCTGACCGTGCAGGGACCATATTTAGGCCAGTCGGCTCAATGCCAGCTCGGCGCAACCTGCACAGTTGATGCTTGGCGAGGCATGGGCCTTTCCATCAACGACAGCGTGGTGATGCAGAGTCATTGCGTTGATGGGGATTACGCCAGCTTTCATGATCTACACCACATCAACAAAATCACGATCTCCTTCGACAGGGCAAACGGCTGGCACAACTTGCACCTCGGATTTCTTAATCCGCAAACCATCCTTCCGCAGGACGTGCAGCTGTGCTGGTGCCCGGCCAGCAGCCCTTGCACCTCGACCTGGGATTTTCTTGTTGTCGCGCTGAGCCTACAGATATCTTGCCCGCCTGGACAGTACGATGATGGTGCTGGCTCGGCCTGTATGGCCTGCCCAGCGAACTACTTCTGCAGCGGTGGCACTGCGCTGCAAAGCTGTCCGCACGCGAGCATGTCGCAGGCAGGCTCAAGCTCGTTGCTCAGTTGCCGGCATGCACAGCACAGTCCCCGTCTTGCGCTCGGCGCCCACATCAAGCAAGCAGAGAGGGACTGATCGCACTGCTGAGGCCAACTATCTGACTGCCTGTGCGTGCAAGGGCGCTACAGGAGCGAAGACGGTTTCGCCTGCTTGGCGTGCCCAGCAGGATCTTCGACATCACAGGCGGGTCGCGGCGGGTCCTAAACTTGCAGAATCATCAGAGCACGTAAGGGCATGTAAGGACTGTCAAAAAGGGGTGTTGTGAAGTAAGGGCATTTAAGGACTGTTATATAGGGTGCTGTGAAGGTTTAGAGCATAATGGTTTCGCTCTTGTGCTTGAGAAAGCTCGGACTTGTTGTGTTGCAGCGCATGAAATGCATGATGCTGCATGATACCTTCTGCCTGGAGGTAGGTGCCACCAGCCTCTCTTCCTGCGCGTGCGTTCCGGGCTTCGTCAACGAGGAAGGCAGCTGCGAGGCCTGCGGAATCGGCTTTGTTTGCCCGAGAGGCTCCGACAGGAGGCAGCCATGTGCTGCCTCGCAAACAACACACACCAACACCGCAGGCTCACTTTCCGATTGCACCTGCAAGCCAGGCACATTCCTACAAAACGGGCTTTGTGCCCCATGTCCGCTAGGATACTTCAAGCCAAGTGCCGGAGATGACGAGTGCTCTCAATGTGGTGATGGGACCTACAGCAACCACACGGGAGCCACGCAGCCGTGCCTATGCGCTGCTGGCTACGGCTTTGATGACACTTCGGGACGCTGCATGGCATGCGTGCCCGGCGAATATAAGGCAGGCATAGGGAACTTGCCGTGCAGCAGGTGCTCCCCTGAAAAGTCCTCAGAAGCAGCCGCCACATCAGCCCTGGATTGCCGCTGCCGTGCAGGCCTTGCTGCGGAAGGCAGCATGTGCCGAGAATGCTCGGAGGGCTTTTTTTGCCCAGGCAAAGGCGAGGAGCTTGCGTGCCCAGGGAACGCAACTTCGCGTGCTGCAGACGGATTGTTTGTGCACCCCTGGTTATTCCTGGAGGGAGGACAATTGCGGTACCTGCCCTCCTGGGCGGTACAAGCCAACCCTGGCCAACGAGCTGACTTGCTCACTTCAATGCCCAACCAATGCTCTGAGTTCTTACGCAGCCACCAGCCTTTCCGCCTGCTATTGTACTGCAGGATATTTTGCAGAAGTGGATTCCGCAGGCGCACTGGCCAGGTGCGCTAGCTGCGCAGCGCTGCCGCACCTGCAATGTCCGGGCGGCTTTGAAGGTCCCAGTGGCGAGCACAAATTGCCAGTTTCCAGGGCGGGCTATTTCCAAACTGGAATCACCACAGCCGTGAAATGCAGCGTCGTTGCGGCCAATGGCCTTAGCGCACGTCTCGGTGGCAACATTTGTGCTGAGGGTGACTCCAACGATTTGAACACTGCATGCGTTGGGAAGTACCGGAACGGCTGCGATGAAGGCTCCACTGGCAAACTTTGCGGAGAATGCCCAGCTGGCTGGGGAAGAAACGGGTTTCAACAGCCCTGCCAGCCATGCGCCGCTGGAGCAGCTCTGCCGCTGATCCTGTCCATCCTTGTCGACGTCGGCACGAAGGTCGCAACGTGTTGAGAGGTAGTGTTAAACGTTGCATGGTGCTTGTAGTTGAAACACGAGACTTTAGCATTATGTCCCAACATACTTTGTCACGTTCAGAGTGCGCAAGCGAAGTGCTGCGTGCGGTTGGCGACCCTGATTTAACCCGAGTAGATTACATGGCAGGGCATCGTCAACTTTGTGGTGGCATCCATGGCCGCGACAGCAGCTGTAAGGGGGAGCACTAAGCTCCATACCATCATGATCCGCATAGCCACCCAGTGGCTGGCCGCCTGCTCCGTCAAGGCCACATTCGACCTCACCCAGATCCCACTGGACACTGAGACAACGGAGCTCAACGCAGAGAACGACAAGCCACTCTTTCCATGGCCTGCGCAGGTCACTGCAGCGATGCTGGGCCTCTTCGAGACCCTCACCCTGTCTCCGGTGCTGACTTCCGTCGATTTGGCCGCGCAGTGCATGGCTCAGGCGTGGGAGCATTTCCTGAGACGGCTTGAACTTGGGACTCATATATGCCTATACAGTGCCTATACATGCATCTGAGTATCTGTAGGAAGCACGGTGCCCAGCACAGCATGCGGGTTAGCAGGTCATGTCAGCGTAAATGTGACACCTGCTGCTGTGGACGCTGGCAGGAGGTGTCTGCTCACAACTCAGCACCACGGATTGCCATGGCAGTGTACCAGCTCCTGCAGCCTGTGCTGGTTGTGTTGAGCATCCTTCTGCTCTCCCTGGCAGTGGTGCGCTGCCTTGTACCTTTGGGGCAGCACTTGGGCCACCCCTTCAATGAGCTCGGGCGAAGAGCCCAGGCTTTGAACAGCCTACGCAAGGCAGTGGACAAGGTGCTGAGCGAGTCTTTCAAAGTTGAGGTGGCTTCCGAAGCACATACCGTCCCTGCAAGCACGCCTCCTTCCTGGGCGGACTTGGAGCGCTCAGGCGTGTTGAGGGAGCTGCAGAGCACGCAGCACATTTGGCAGGCAGCTAAGGACCCCGAAGCTTTCCTACAGAGGGCCACAGCCGGGTCTCGCACTCTGTTGCTCCGCGCCTGCGCAGCTCGGGCGTGCAGTCTGGCCCCGCCCACCAAAGCACTGCAGGCGAGCCAACACCTGGCTGAGGCGGACCTGAAACTGCAAGCTATTCTTGCAACAACATTCCAGGTACTTGTAGCATGTGTTTTTTGGATGGCGTGTGCAGGCAGACCTTCAGGCTTTCCTGACCGTGGACTTCGCCAATGAGTCGACGGACTTCATTGCCATGCTGGACAAGATCTTAGACACAGCATGGGCCAAGACCCCAGAGCAGCAGCTCTGTGGGATTACGATAAATGGCGAGGAGATTGAGGAGCTCCACGCAGAGACTGAGACGCGCCAGGACAATGGCCTGGAGATCTCAGAGCTCGAAGCGGCTGCGGATCCTGACAAGAGCGCTGCCACTTTGCAGTTTCCCACAGACATTGACACGGACATCATGCCCTGTCCTCGGGCACGTTGCTTGCGCAAAACCGCTTTCCGTAAGAACATCCATATTTGTAGTGTCATTGGTGTTCACCGAGGCCGTCCCAGGACCAGCAGCTGACAACGCCCTCGCGGCGTGGCTTGAGCCTCATAGCCGATGAGGCCCTTCCTGCATGCATGCATGTACAGGATCCCGTTAATCCCGCAGAGAGGCTTGCCCCTTTTTGCAGGCTGTGGAATCTTTGGACTTCGGTCTTTTTTCTTCTAAACCGTCCTTCAGCGACCTTATCTACCAGAGCATGCCGATCATCTGGATAAGCCTGGTGGCCTTGTGGCCCGGACTTCTGTCAAGCTTCTTGCGAATGATTTGGTGCGTCCCGATCCCGGAGGATGGCGAGGTGGTGAGCCGCCTCCTTCCCAACCCTTCCGTGGTCTGCTGGTCCGACGACCACATGGCCTCCGCTGGCCTCGCCATCCTGGGGTTGGGTATTTGGTGCCTCGGGATCCCGATGACATTGGCAGCGCGACTGCTTTGCCTCCGCGACAGACAGGCTCCCGAGAACTTCAGGCGTGTTGGGGGGAAGGATGCAGTAGGAAGGTGGGTCAGAGCCTGTGCATAGCAGGCGATTTGGCTACTTCTTCCAGGGGCTGGAAGCGCAGTTTTGGTGGTGGGACCTCCTCGTCAAACGTTTGGACACGGCCTCAGTGCTTCATCGGTGGCAGTCTCAAGCACAGGGTGGTCTGCGACGCCCAGATTCAGGCACTTCCCCAACCCCAAAATCTAAACCCCCTCGTAAATGGTACCAACAGGCTTGGCCTAGCAGCAGAGTTGCAAATGACCGAGGATGTGGCGCTGATGATGCTGGTCACCTACACGTCGTTCGTGTTGGACCCGAAGGCGAAGCTCATGCTATTCCCAGTCCTCTCGGGCTTGCAGGCGGGAGGAGCATTGATTACTATAAGATATTGGGGTTATATGGGGATAACAGAAAATAAAATGGAAACTGCCATAATCGGGTATCCCTTAGGGTTATAATATAGGGTATATATATATATATAATGCTGTGTTCTGTTTCTTCTGTCGGCGACGCCCTTGAACCCTCCGCTGCTCTTGTTTGATGGGACCCTTCGGAGCCTAACGCAGCCCTTCCCAGCAGCTATCCTTAGCCTGGGCTGCTGTAAAGGAACTTGTTCTTTGTTACCATAATGGGTATATATAGTAAATCATAGGGTTTCCCCAATATAGTAACTTAAATTAAGTTCCTTAACAGCAACCCAGCAATCTGGCCTCCTCATAAGGTCGCAATATTATAACCCAGAACGAGCACTGCTTTCTCGAAGCTTCCAAAAGCGCGCAAACTGAGCGTGCGGGCACAAGGCTTGTTCGTGGCTGGTCGTCCGATGCACGCCTTTACACTAACCTTGAATTGCAAACCCAGCGTTCGCGCGTGTGATGCCTGCCGTGCATGTGTCAACATACGGGTACTATACTGCACCTTGTGTCCGCCTAAAATAGACCTTGTTTCAAGGTCCTTGGGGATACCTTCGAGGGGCATTCGGGAGGTGTCTTACCTTTCGCCGACGTGCTGCTGCTGCTGCTGCTGCCAGAGTGTCTTTCAAATGGCACCCATGTTACCACCTTGTTCTTAACGGGGAGTAGGAGAGTGAATAAACACCTGCAAACCCCTACTTACAAAACTTCAGGGATAACATCTGTGGATGCACCAGGTTTCCAGCCGAGTTGATCGGATGCCTTGTTTTTGTTTGCCAGGTATTTCTCGCCGCCTGGATCCGACCCTATGCAAACGATCAGGCAGAGATTCTCGATGTCGTGGAGGCGCGCGGGCGTGCTGTAGAGTCCTATCGAGCTCCCCAATCAAGCACTCAAGGGTTGGCAACGCAGCAGCGCGGCTAGGCGACTTACAAGATGTAGACAGGTTTTGGGTTAGGCTACTTACATCCTCGCGACCCTAAGTTCGCGTAGAAGCAACAACTCAACAGAAGTGACTGGGTGGCTCTGCCGGGCTTTCGCCAAAGCCATCGCAATGGGAAATACGCGGACTGCGGACCCTTACAAGACGTTCAGGGTATATGACTTCATAGATAAACCCTAGACCCTAAACCCTAAAACCTATGACTTCATAGCAGGAATGAACCAGAAGACCACCTTGGTCCACCTTGTTCAGGTGACGCTTTCCATGATCCGCTTTCTGCTGTTCAGTGCAGTGGCTGCGCTGCTGGTTCTTCAGCCGCCGGCAAACACCACGCACGTGCCACTGTGCCGAAGCCCTTAAATCCCTGCAATGAGGCAAGCCTCGTATGGTACCTTGTACATGAGACCACGTGCCAGAAATTTGGGACATTGACGCCTCCCTTCGTTCGCTCCTATCGCTCAGCTAAGGGTGGCCTACACGCTGTTCATGGTTCTCCTGCTGGCGTGCGGCTACTTCACTGCGCACTTTACGGCCCAGGTGCTGCTGAAAGCTGAGCGACCGCGCAGAATGGGTCGCACTAGGTCTGTCGGAACGATTTCCTGTGGAGGGGGCCCTGTCATGCCCTGTCCATCGAGTGGGTGAGACAGTAAGCCCAAGCCTCCGCAGCAAAAACGAGCCAACCTCATATTATATTTTTGATAGATCCGGCTCTCGCGTGGAGCATCGTTACACTTTCACATGATGCTCTCGCGTGGAGCGTCCTCGAATTTCCGCTCAGACTCGGGCTCTCTTCTTTCCTTTAACTTGCAGCACCCCCCTCCATATGCAAACCATGCCTGAAAAGAAGATGGCGCGTTTTTTCGCAGGTTTTGATGCGGTTTTTCAGGCATTGCACTTGCCGCAACTCATGCGCGAAATTAGGCACATGTATTGATGGGCCCCAACATTTGCAAGAGTGGGGCGGTTGTGGGCAGTGCAGCCCCCACCCTTTTGCCAGCCATGCATGAAGATGTGGAGGCCAGGCAGTCGAGAGAGGAGACTGGAGACTGGATGGAGTGAAGGGTGCAGAGTGAAGAGTGGAGTGTCTTGAGTAGAGACCGGAGAGCGAAGAGGAAAGTGGAATAGAGAGTGGAGTGGAGAGTGTACTTGAGGTTGGAGTGTGGAGAATGGAGTGTGTTGGATAGGAAAGTGGAGTGGAAAGTGCTGCAGGGGAGTGTGGAGAATGGACAGTGGAGAGTGCAGCGTGGAGAGTGAAGACAATGGAGCGGAAAGCGGTAGAGTGGAGTGTAAACAGTGGAGAGTGGGGGCTGGAGAGCGGACAGTGGAGGGTGTGGGGAGTGTTTTCGTCCTGTGTTCTGCGTATTGTGTTGTGTGTGTGTGACGCGTCTAAATTACGTGAATTGCGTCTCTCGCGTCTGCATTCGGGGTCGTGGGCTCCTATGAGGCTTACTTGTGAGTTTGTGAGAGTTTGCCCAGACTGAAGGCCCCGCGTATGCGCAATATGAAACCTTGCAGCCCTTGAGTGCACGAACTTCGCAAGGACCGCAAGCACAGGACCCGCGATTCAAGGAACCTACCTGTCACAAACGGTGATAGCCGCAAGCCAATCAGACTAGTCTGTCTTCCGTGGGGGGTGTGCATTTGTGAGTTCAGATTTCAGTGGAGTTCGTAATTCTTCACAGTTTCCACGAAAACTTTGTAAAAGCTCTCGGAATCCTGCTTGGAGATCAACGTGGCAGGTGCTCCGGGATGTGGCAGTTGGCCCCGGTCCCGCACAGGCTGGCTCCAGGTTCTCCAAAGCTTCAGGCCCAGTGGGATGGGGTGGAGAAAGAGTTGTCCCGTTTGGAAGCCCTTGAAGAGCACAGACTATGTTTTTACGAAACTAGGCCAGTTCCGGGTCAATTTGGCAGCTGTCTTACTTGGGATGAGCTCTGCAAGGGGCAAAAGAGTTCTGACATTGGTACTAGGTAGATATCTCACATCAGGGTCCCTTGTTTCAAGCCCTCGACAGCCAGCATGCAGTCAGCAAGCCAAGCGACCTACATATTGAAGAAGACTTGTATCGAGGCTTTAGGGTTTATAGTCCCCCTTAAGTAGATAGAATATGGGGTATATGGGGATCTTATTAAAATATACCCAAAGCAATATTTTGTCTACTTAAGGGGGACTCTAGGGCTTGGAGGTGCCATCAAGAGCTTTGTCCTCAAGATGGCTTTGCCTTTGTTCACAGAGGCCTGGGATGGGTTCAGGGCTTCGCGCAGTCCTACGAATACCTTACAAATCATGGCTACGGCCAATGTAGCTCTACCAATGCTGTGGTGTCTTCTACAGTGGTACGAGTACTTAAGCTGTCCCGGAGGGTAGTTTCGGTTGCTGGCATTGTGGGGCGCAATCTGGGTTCTCTCGAAGCAGATCACTGGCCGTTGGCCTCTTCTGGCCTCAGCGAGGGGTGGGGCAAAAAGTCCACATATGACTCCTTGGGCTTGCCTAGAATGCAAAGGGATTAACACCATCAGGTGCGGTCCTCCAAGACCTTCTTAGGCATTCTCATTCTTTTGGGTGGCTTTCACGAGCTTTGGGCTGCTGTGTGCATTCGATGCATTGAGTTCGGTCTGGCTGCAGGGAATACTTTGTTTCCTTGGCAGTCAGAATCGGTTTGCTGTGCCATGCCGTGCAATGCAAGTTCCGAAATACTCCTTACAATAACTACGTAGCAGAATGCATGCGAAGTCACGCAGCAATCGAGCGCCAACGCACTTCCACTGGTTTCATGTTCTGTCTACTTAAGGGAGACTATAAGCCCATTATATACCCTATTATAATATAGTTGTTTCCACATAACCCCAATATAACCCTAAATAGTAGTGTCCATTTTTCCATTATCCCTATATAACCCCAACCGTATTGTCAGGCAGAGTCGGACTCTCTGCTGCTTGCCTGGTCCTTCACGTCCGAGAAAGTCACGGTGACGATGCCAACGTCTGCCTGGAGGCAGGCTGCTCTATGGCATCCTTGACCAGAAGAGCCCTAGGAAGCTTCAAACGATTGCGAGATCAACGCCCAAGAGTACAAAAACTCTGTTAGTGCCAAGAATAAGAGTAACAAACATAGTAGAAATAAGGACTACTAAGAACAATAGTAGTACGAGCAACAAGACGTAATGGCACGCTCGAAGTAATCGCCGTGTCTTAAGGGCCGGATTGCCTGTCAGTCAAAGTTTACTGGGTGGCTGTCGAGGAAGTTGAATTCAGCGACTATAACAAGGAAACCTACCATATATTGAACATCATAATAGACTGAAACCCTAAGGCCTATAAACCTATAAACCCTAAACAAATGGCTCAAGATTTCGGCTCCAGGTTAAGCACTGTGACCACAAAGAAAGGTCTGGGTTTGACTAATTGGGTTCCGGGTAGGAAGGAAAACTGCTCTGGTCCTTTCAGATTGTATCCGGACTGTTCCCAGGAAAAACGGCAACTTGGAATCTCCGCGGTGGGGTTGAAGGTCCCTTTCCTATCTCCGACTCACCAATCCCTCTGGGGGAAGCGGATCTGCCACGTGACATTCCGCAGAGCGAGAGCGATGAGGGTGAAGTGGAAGAGGAGGATAAGTTGTCCGGTGAGCTCACAGATCCAGATCCAGACTCGACTCAAGAAGATCGTAGGCTGGGGTTGGGGGCTAGCTAGGCATCAACTGTTCCTGCAGAGATATCTGAGACATTGGCTTTTTTGGGGGTCAGAAGGGTAACATATATATTGCTCCTGAGATAGCCATTTAAATCGTACAAACTATGTGAACTCTATAGCCCTGTTACCCTAAACTCCATAAATACAAAGCCCGCAACCCTCCATAAGCTACGTAAAACCACTATGAGGCATCCATGTCTCATAAGCTTGCAGAGTGTATATTTGGGATATGACATGGCTCCCCGTGATTGAACCTATATGAGGCTGGCAATGCGCCTCGCTAATCTCTCTGAACTACTTGTGTACCTGGATTCTGGAGTGCGGGGTCTAGCGCGGTTGAACGTTTAACCCATATATGTACCTAATATTTTAAGCCACAGGTTTTGAATACAAACCTTCCCACGCTTAGGTTTCTT